CTACTGGGTGTCATCAGTTGGGATCTTTTACATAAACCGAGTCCGAATTTAATGAATGTGAGCCGCGACTCAAATCCGCCAAAACCCGGTTTCAATTCAGCGCCGGCTTAACTCTTGAAACATTGAATATATTTTTAAGTGGAACCAGCCATGTTTGAGCCGCGTCTCAAATATAAGCCGTGGCTCAAATTCTTTAATTTCGGCCTCCGGATTAGTTCAACTTTGGGGAGAGATTAATCACTCTCTCTCATTAGTTGTTAAATACTTCATGTCTAACCAATGACAATTTTGAATCAATTCACAAGTTTATTAGTCGGTTTATAATTTTGTTAGATTCATTGGGAAGGAGTTTAGTTTTTACTTCAGAATTTTAAACTTTATATGCCTAGGCCCCTTTTACAACTGTTAATTAGCTTGTAACTGTTGCTTTTAAAGTGTCTAAACTATTCTCAAATTTTGGCGGGTTTTAAAATTTAAATTGGCGGATTTAAAAAAAATGATTGTCTACATTTTTTTGAATAAAAACAGACAAACAGGTATACATAATAATGGAATTTTGTTAAAGCAAGTAAATTATTTTTAGTTATTTTTCTTTCTTTAAAAACGATCTTTTCTTTTGAATGATTCTTGGAAAAATGTACGTTTGTTTTTGTTAATTAAGAATTATTAATCTATTTTTATCTGATCAATTGCTAATTAATTCATTGGAATCTTAGCCGACATCTTGGAATTTCATGGGAAATATTATCTCGAAAGAAACTACCCCCCCCCCTTCAAACAATTTTTTTTCAAATGTAAATGTATTTTTGTGAATTATACGGAATGAAAAAAAAAACCTGATTTTTCAATTTTCTCCCAAGGGAAAAAAGTGCGACAAAAACACATTTTATGCTTTAAGCGTAATTTTAAGTCACCTGTTATGCAAATTTGGTAATGTCCGATTTACAATGGCACCCTGTAAACCGTTGACTGATCATCGAATGTCGAGGCCAGAGAACTCGGTGTGTTTATCTCTCAAATTTTGTTCGAATTTTAACGGGAGTGTACGGAAGTATTGTTTGAACTCAACATGTACAGTGTACAGTGTGTCGGGGGTGTCCAACGTGGGTTTTCAAGAACTTGTATCCGTGATAGGTCGAAGCTTAACATTGTGCTTTTGTGAATCGAACACTCAACTACAAACGGTACAAGGGTCACTTGAAATTACAAAAGTCGAAAAATGAGGAAAAGATTTTACACACACATGAAATATATTTTAACCGAAGGTTAAATGGTTCTTAAATGGTTTTGATATTCAATTGACGCTTCCAATAACTATTAGTTGTAGCAAATAAAAACATGATTAATATTTTAAATTAATGGATTAGTCAAGAAAAAATATTGGGTTATTATAAAAAAAAATTTCGAAACCTGAAAATGTAATATACACGAAGTTGCAAGAAAATATGCATTTTGCATTTATTATCTCTATTCTCTGATAAGAATCACCCTTCTCCCCTGTTCTTGGATGTACAGGGTGTCCCACATCACATTAGATCGTCAATCAGTCTAAAAATTACGATTTTCGGGACCAATTAGAAAATTTAAGAAAAAAGAATCATTTTGAAAAAATGAATAAGGCTAATATAAGAATTTTTTTGCGGAATTTACTAGTTTTTTCGAGTATTAAGGTTTTATTTTGGTGTTAAAGCTTGGAGATAATCTAATATGATATGGGACACTCTGTAGTTCTTGAAAATACATATCTCTTTTCGTTCATTGTTTACTATTTTATTTGTGTAATAAAATCCTAGTTATATGTTTCTATGAATGGAGTTAAAGCGGGCAGAGGGNGGAACAAAACATTCATTTTATTGTAGAGTACAAATTGTTATTATGCCCGAAAATGTCCCATTGATATTCATTCTTGAATTCATTATCTCATTCATTTTTGAGTTAATTATTGAAGATTTATCTTTGTTCTAGAAATCATTCATCTTGCCGTATGCAATATGTTTACGTACATGAATGCTTAGTGGGGAAGGGGAGGTTAAACTGAATATTAAAGGCCCTATAACCGTCATTTCAAAATAACCTCCTCTCTTTCAAGACAAGTGAACCAGTGAAGAAAATGTATGTTTAACAAATTCTTGATTAGACAAAGGTTTTAAGGGTACTGTTGTGAATCGGGCATTAGGATCCTTGTCTGGAGAGTCACTCTACATTATTTGCGTCTACATTTCCTAAGATCAGAGGCTGCAATTTAAAATCTTTTCGAATTATCACCTAACGTTTAAAGATATATTCTACGTAATAAAATCAGACTCAACTTTCAGAAAGATTATTTGTACTAAAGGGACTGAAAGCGTAGTTTCAATTGGCCCTCCATGCAAAGATGACAATGAGTGGGTACAAAACGTTTACCCCAATAACAAACCGAACATCGTCTTTGCATTATGGATCACTTGATATTACGCGTACAGTCCCTTTAAATGAAATAAATGCTGGTTAAACTACAATCTCTGCTCTTGATACTAAGATTTCTATTTCTTGTCAATGTCGAGACATCGTATAAAAATTATAAATGAAAGCATGGATAAGGAACCCGGTGGGAGGGAGGGGAGGAAGGGTGGCTTCGTTGAAAGTATGCGATGATACTTTTTATGTACGGTTTATTTTTTATTCTAAATGTTAAATTTCTAATAGTAATCCTAGAAAACTCGGAATTTTCTAGTTTTCTTCTTGTTATTTTCTTGTTTTTCTTACAAATACAGATTAAGCAGGGAAAAAAATAATTTATATTTTTTTAGATCTGATTATTAATCTTTTGAAGCTTCCAATCTGTTAACACTTCCTTTCTTTCATAACTTCCATCTATATAACACTTCCTTCATCCTTTCTTTCATAACTTTCTGCTTTTAACACTTCCTTTATCCTTTCTTTCATAACTTTCTGCTATTAGCACTTTCTTTATCCTTTCTTTCATAACTTTCTGCTTTTAACACTTCCTTCATCCTTTCTTTCATAACTTTCTGCTTTTAACACTTCCTTCATCCTTTCTTTCATAACTCTCTGCTTTTAACACTTTCTTTATCCTTTCTTTCATAACTTTCTACCTTACACACTTCTTTTTTATAGAAACTTTTTTCTTTCTGTCAGTGTTTCGGATCCATATCATTTTGATTCGGATCCGGATCCTGATACGGATCCGGATCCGGATCCGGATCCGAGGTAACTTTTGATTCTGTGAATCGGATTTTCCCTATTAAATGTTATGCAAGGTTATAATTTATAAAAAGTCGTCATTAATTTACTATTATATAAATGTAAACATTAAATTATTAAAGATAATTTTGAAAAATTTTCGTCATGTAAAATGTAAATAATACATTTACGAACCATTTTGATTTATTTATTCCATGGTTTTGGTTAATTTTTGGCGCTACCCGGATCCATATCAACGTTTCCTGATACGGATCCGGATCCGGATCCGAAACACTGCTTTCTGTAATTGCTTTCTCTTGCTGCCACATGTTTTTTTACGCTTCCTTTCTGCTAAATTTCCTTCCTGTTAAAACTACCTTTCATTCATCTCTTCCTTTCTTTTAACACTTTCTCCCTTTCAACAATTTCTCCCTTTCAACACTTTCTCCCTTTCAACACTTTCTCCCTTTTAACACTTTCTCCCTTTCAACACTTTCTTCATTTCATCACTTCCTTTCTATCAACACTTTCTTTCATACTTCCTTCATTTCAACACTTAATTTCTTTCAAGACTTCCTTCTTTTCAACACTTCTTTCATTTCATCACTTCTTTCATTTCAACAATTCCTTTCTATCAACACTTCCTTTCTATCAACAATTCCTTCATTTCATCACTTCCTTTCAATCAACACTTCCTTTCTTTCATACTTCCTTCATTTCAACACTTAATTTCTTTCAACACTTCCTTCTTTTCAACACTTCCTTCATTTCAAAACTTCCTCTCTATCAACACTTCCTTTCTTTCAACACTTTCTTACTGCCAACACTTCGTTCATTTCAATTCTTCCTTTCTATCAACACTTCCTTTCTATCAACAATTCCTTTATTTCAACACTACCTTTATTTCAATACTTTCTTTCTTTTAACACTTCCTTTCTATTAACACTTCCTTTATTTAAACACTTTCTTTTAACACTACCTTAATTTTAACACTTCCTTCCTCAGCAACGCTTCCTTTTTTCAACACTTTCTTTCTTTCTATCAACACTTCCTTGCTTTTGACTTTACCTTTCTATTCACACTTCTTTTTAAACACTTCTTCCTTTCAACCCTTACTTTCTTTCGACGCCTGTTCTGCATAAAAATTTTGCTTTCATAATTTATTCTTAATTTCTCCATCTAGACGTTTTTCCTTTCTCAAATTGTCAAACTGTGATAAGACAAGCTAGTTTGCAAGAATCTCAATATTTCTTTCATTCTCACCTCTTTGTTTCCCCGGCATACAAAGAGGGGTTAGCTCACTGCTGGCCGGGCATGTCAAGTGTCAAGGGGGGATCAAGGGAAAGACCTACCTCATTTTTGTTGACATTATAAAAAAGGAGATATTTGTTAATTTGATAATATTTCAAGTACCTGTGCTAGTGCTGGGTTAAGCTTTAAATTTTTAATTAAAATTAAAACTTTTTAAGTTTTAGAGAAATGTTTAAAGTTTTTAAAAAGAGTAATATTTCTTATTCAGAGTGATGACCTTGAAACCCTCTAAATGCGGAAGATGTAGTTGTTTTAATTCTTTAATTGCTGACTATGTTTATAACTGTCTCTGCACAATGATGCGCTAGTCACTATTTCAATTACAAATGTTATCAATTAAAGGACATATTTCTTAAACCCCTTTTTCATAAATATTTTAAACCCTGTGGTTGTGATAAACTATTTAATGCTTTGTTTGAGTATGAATAAAATGATTTAGAATCCTTATATGGAAATGGGACGGGTTTGGAGAGGGCACAGGGTGTTCTAAGAAAGTCTAATGATCGTAAAATTTATTAAAAAATATTGAGAACAATTGTCATGATGGTTTTCCTAGATAAAAGAGTTCTCAGATAAAAAAATTATTTCCTAATTGAATTTTTTGAAATTTAGTTTTTCTTGGTAAAACTAGAATTATGAATGACAAGATGAACCAAGTTATAAGGCAACAAAAAGTTCACAAAGTGGTGTGTCCAAAACACCCCCCTCCCCCCCTACTACCCCCGCACACGCACATACGCACATACACACGTGACACATACTCAATTTTCATCCATCATGTTCCCTACAGTCTAAATTTTTCTGCATAAATTTGAACTTTTGGTTAAAACCAATGATTCCAACGAAAACATTCAATATCGTGTTTTTTTGGGATGGGGGGGGGATTAGAACATCCCTCTGTAAAAGAACGTTTCACTTTTCTGATATAAAATTTTCATCCCCGCTCACCTGCCAAAAAAGTCACATTTGCGTGGGAAAAAAGTGCGACAAAAACACATTTTATGCTTTAAGCGTAATTTTAAGTCACCTGTTATGCAAATTTGGTAATGTCCGATTTACAATGGCACTTTTTTCCTGTAAATTCCCTGATGCTACCCCTCCCTCTCTAGATTTTTCCTGTTAATTCCCTGATGCTACCCCTCCCTCTCTAGATTTTTCCTGTTAATTCCCTGATACTACCCCACCCTCTCTAGATTTTTCCTGTTTATTCCCTGATGCTACCCCTCCATCTCTAGATTTTTCCTGTTTATTCCCTGATGCTACCCCTCCCTCTCTAGATTTTTCCTGTTTATTCCCTGATGCTACCCCTCCCTTTCTAGATTTTTCCTGTTTATTCCCTGATGCTACCCCTCCCTCTCTATATTTTTCCTGTTTATTCCCTGATGCTACCCCTCCATCTCTAGATTTTTCCTGCTTATTCCCTGATACTACCCCTCGTATACAAATATGGGGGTGGGGGGGGGAAGAAGACAAATAATGTAAATTAAGATATTTTTCAAGTGTCACTTTTTGTCAATATTAGACCTGTCTCAGCTCCTACCTGTAACCTGAAACAAGGGTGTCAGGAAATTTAAAAAAGGAAAACTAAATAGTTAAGTTTTTTTAAGTGCATAACGACTACAAAAAATATTAATAACAAATTAATATGTTCACAACAAAAACGAAAATTGGAAGTAGACAGCCCTTGGAAAGTATTGGTTGTTTTGTTCTGAAATATATGTCTGCAGAAACCAAAAAGTTGAAAATCAAAACCGTCTTCTGGTGNGTATTCGAAATACTTATCCAGTTTAAGATAATAGCAGGAGAAAGATTTTCTTATAGAATGATAATAGAATCCACTGTTTTATCATATTCCTAGAGTTAGATGTATGCCATAATTGAACCCGGCAATTAAAATTTATTCTATTGCAATGATATAATTTAACAATCCTAATAAAATATAATGTTTCGTTAACAAACAATCATAAAATCTAGTACACAGATATAGAATAATAGGGCTGGCAGGGGGTATATGTTTTTATAAACTTACCTCGCCTTTCTACCTTTAATCTAATATCTTTAATTAATCACCCCTTTTCGAATGGACCTACAAACAACGTTTATTATATTATTTGTGATTTAATTTAAATAGTTTTACAACGGTACCATTGCCATCTTAATTCTTAATCTGATAACAATGTGGAAGACAACATCGTTTTTCTAACTCGAAAAGCGTTTATATCTGATAATTTCTTCAGTTAGCAAATCACTATCAGACAAATCTTTTAACGGTCCAGTTTTAAACACTTCTAATGCTAACTTCAAACAAAAATATTGAAAAGATAGAATCATTGCAAAAGAAATTAAAGTAAAATATTTTGGTTTGCAAAAACCATTCTTCATTTTTTTTCTTTATTTTCCTACAGTAAACTAGGTTGGTATGGTGCGTTACATCCGTAGTTTTAAATTTTGAGTGGGGGGGGGGGGGTTTGATTCGTGCATATAGAAAAATAGGTTGATTATTCATCTGTATTATCTCAATATACAGAGATGAAATATATTTTATATTCTAGATTAGGAACCCAGCTTTGCCTGGAAACCTAAGTTTTCCACAAAAAGGTCAATGTATACTCATTTTAGAGCACGCTAAAAAAAATTCCGTGGTTCTACCGAAAGCCCCAATCCAAATTTGAGGCAAATCGGTGAAGGGTTCGGAATTATGATATATGATAGGATATACAAATATACAGACAAACTTATTTAACAGTGATCTGTATGATACATATTATTTAGAAAATACTTCTTTTTTGAAATATTTTTAAGCAATTTAAGATTAATACATAAAATTTATTTCATATTTAACAAAAGTAAATTAACTTATAGATCTTACACGTTTTCTAGCATAATACCTCTTACTAATAAGAGCTAATGATAAAAAATTAAAAAATCCATAAAAGCATTCTGGGAGTAAAATAAAAGCGAGGTGTTAAGAGACCGCAAAATCTCCATAAATATTAAGTCTTTTCTATTTCATTTAATGTGAGTGCACGTATCCTATACTTATGTAGCCATCAAATTGTAGAATATAAAGACGACATTAATACAACCTTCATGTATATTTTAATAGGACATAAAACCATAATGTTGCCAGTTCCGTAAAATGGTCTGTGAATACTACATAATTTCCGTATTTGATATTCATTGGACTAATGAAATTTTAAGTTGAGTCTAAAAGTCGTCTTCCTATTCCATAATGTTGTGGTTCTCTCTGTACTATTTTACTTACATTGCAGGCGCTGGTGAAACGTAACCAGGACTTGACTCCGAGTGAGAAGGAGAGTTCTGCTATCATAAACCTGGTTTACAAGGTCCAGGGGGTCCTTGACACCCTCATCATTACACCAGGGGCATTCGACTCATGCGTAAGTACTAAAATAAAATAAATTAAAAATTCTGCGTACACGACTCGAAGGTTCTGGGGGCTCAGCACCCCACCCCCCACCCCCCACCCTGATCAGTGAAATTAAGATTTCCAGAAAGCTTTTGGGCCCCAATGGGTGCTGAGCCTTTAGACAAATTCCTGAGTACGCCCCGTTTAAGTAGGTATAAACATACAGGGGTTTAAGGATAAAAATGGGATAGAATTAATTTTCTTCATTAAACTTTGGTACAAATCCACCCCACCCCCGGCCTCCCCACCTCCCTCCCCCGAAATCAACTAAATGTTCGGCATTATTATAAACTTATCCATCGTTCTATCCATAGATTATTAATTTACAGTGAGTAAACACTGTAATATAAAGACTACATTAATCCATAGATGTTTTTGAAATATTTTTTTATGTTTTTTAATGTTTTTAATGTTTTTAATGTTTTTTAATGTTTTTTAATGTTGTTGATGTTTTTACAAAGCAATAGCTTTACTAGAAGCTTATTAAATTACTAATTATGTAGAATGTGCTTACACTGTCACAATTGTTGTATCTCATGCTCATTGGATTATGCCATGTCATATATTGAATCTAAAAGTCGTCTTCCTATTCTGAAGTTTTCTGGTTCTCTCTGTATCACTATCTTGTTAATAATTTAGCTTAGATTCAAAACTTGTGTTAAGATAATTTTCAAATGTTGCTTTACGTTCTGTACAGTACGCTGCAAGTGGGAAATAAGCCATTTTAGATTATTTTCATTTTGATTAGTTGACATTAGAGGCCGAATTTAAAGAATTTGAGCGGCGGCTAAAATTTAAGCCGCGACTCAAATATGGTTGGTTTCACTTAAATTGTTTTCAATGCTTCAAGATTTAAGCCGGTGTTCACTTGAAACCGGTTTTTTGCAGATTTAAGACGCGGCCCAAATTCATTAAATTCGGACATAGGACTATGTTCGGAAAAATACACAACATTTGTATTTTTAAATTTCATGTAATTCTCCACCAGAAAAATGTTAGGCAAAATCACTTTTTAAACCCTGGCTTTTCTTCGATAGCAAATGCCCGATTGTTTAGAAAAAATATTATTGGGAGGGTATATTTTTATGATTTTATTTAAATTTTTTCACAAAATAAAATGCAACAGATTGAATCTTACTAGGGCTAGAACTTTAACATAATGATTTTTTTTTCTTAAAAATTTGCAGGGGTTATTTTTCACTTGGGACAAAAATTGATAACAAAAAATACGGGTTTAAAAATAGATTCTAAAAACAACACAACAGTACAGAATAGGATCTAGAAATATGCATTAACATTTTGATCTCTTGAACCTTATTTTAGTTTAATTTTTCTTCGAAAAAAATTTAATTTCAATTTATTTTTTCAATTGAAAGTAGCTTTATTGTATAGATGTTTCATAACTCCAGATTCCTGAAGACTTGAAGAAGCTAGTTAAATCTAGAATAATTTCAATATAATTATATTCAGCTGGTTCCTGATTTAACCAGGTCAACAACTTTCACTAATGACTTGAGCTTTAAAAATCTTGTTTCTTTTTAACCATTTTCAACATATTTAAAATTACCCACACAATAAATGGTTCAGTAAAATTTATATTTATAATTTATAAACGATCAGTCACCTTTTGAGTTTTCATACAAGGTCCATTAAACAAAGCAAAAAAAGGTAAAAGCTAATTACATTACTAGGGTATTTATTTATATGCAAGGTTGCGTGATTCATTATGTTACAAGGTTGCGTGTTTTCTTATGTAGCAAGGTTGCGTGATTTATTATTAGTGTGCGCAATTTTTTGTTGCAAAGTTTTGTTACAAGGTTGCATGATATGACTTGCAGTGGCGACAATGGAATTTGTTTTTAAAAAAAAAAGTTGATTTTAAAATTGAATATCTTTAAAATTCGCACACGAAAATAATTTGAATGTGCAGATACTTCAGATATTTCAGATTTTAAGTCAACATATTCTAAATGATTCTAAATTTCTAAAGTAAAAGTTAATGTCATTACAATTAGATGTTTTTTAATAGAAAAATTAGGGTATGGGCAATGAAGAATACATTTTTACTTCTAAATAATGTCATTTCCATGTTAGATTTATTTAAGATCTTACCATACTACATTGACGACAGGAAAATTTTAGTTATTAGAAATTTACTTTTTTTTGAGTAAAACTATTATTTATGTTACTTAAAATAAATTCAGTCTTTTACAGATCTTTGCAGTTAATATAAAATGAATGACTATAATGAAGAATATAAAACAAGGTGAAAGCTGAAAGGTAGGAAATGAAGCCTTTATTTGATGGAGTTGGTAAATGCCAGAAAAGAGTGGAAAATGCAAATCAAACCCAACTAAAACCAATAATTTAATATACATCATGATATTTTTCTAGGGGGTAAAAAAATTCTAGGGGGGGGGGCAAAATTTACCCGCGCCTGAATAAATATGTACCTTTACTTTTCCTTTGATTTCAATTCTTTATATTTTTTTTGAATCGGGAGGAAATATTCCCACAACCTCTATTTTGGGAGGATTTCAAATATTTTCTCTTTAAACACTCAAGTTTTTGTTAAATTTCATAAATAATTACTTTCTTACTAAGAGCATTGCATGGCGGGTCACTTAAAATTACGCTTACAGTCCCTCTTTAAGAATTCTTGAAAAACCATTGGTGAGGCTTGAGTTTGCAATTTTGCGCATATTTGGAAAATTGCAAATTGGAATATTGCTTCAGTATTAAACATTCGCGATCCATACACGGTCTTTCATAGGTTCATAAACTTTCTAGAAAATTAAAGGGGAATAAAGAGAAATGCGTTCTGTTGAGGGATAGAAGGGAGGATTTAATGTATTTATAGGGGATGAAAGGGAATATCTTAAAGGGGATTAGATGAAAGGGAACCCTTAAAGAGGACATTTTTAGAATTAATTGAAAAAGTTAAAGGGGATTAAAAGGAGCATGTTCAGAGGATTAAATGGAACATGTTGAGGGGATTAAAGGGAACATGTTCAGGGGATTAAAGAGAACATGTTCAGGGGATTAAAGAGAACATGTTCAGGGGATTAAAGGCAACATGTTCAGGGGATTAAAGGGAACATGTTCAGGGGATTAAAGGGAACATGTTCAAGAGATTAAAAGGAACATGTTCAGGGGATTAAAGGGAACATGTTCAGGGGGATTAAAGGGAACAGGTTCAGGGGATTAAAGTGAACATGTTCAAGAGATTAAAGGGAACATGTTCAGGGGATTAAAGGGAACATGTTCAGGGGGATTAAAGGGAATATGTTCAGGGGATTAAAGAGAACATGTTCAGGGGATTAAAGGGAACATGTCCATGGGATTAAAAGGAACATGTTCAGGGGATTAAAGGGAACATGTTCAGGAGATTAAAGAGAACATGTTCAGGGGATTAAAGGGAACATGTTCATGGGATTAAAGAGAACATGTTCAGGGGATTAAAGAGAACATGTTCAGGGGATTAAAGGGAACATGTTCAGGAGATTAAAAGGAACATGTTCAGGAGATTAAAGGGAACATGTTCAGGGGATTAAAGGGAACATGTTCATGAGATGGGGGGGGGGCAAGCTACTAATTATAAACACAGTAAAGGACTCTTAGAACTAAAGGTTTATGAGGGAGTATTAAGTTTAACGTAAATTAGCTGAATACCTCGAGCTTGACTCTCTTGACACTTGAATATGCAATATATTTAGCTTTAGCTGTGGAAATTAGAATTAACTCTAAACAGGGTGTCTTACAATTCTAACAATCTAATTATTTACTGTACAGGGTGTCCTAACTTCCTAAGGTTTGTACAAAGCATCTTTTTACTACAGTGTGTTGTAAGATCCTAATAGAGAAACTTTACTCTATATACAGGTTGCCCTAATGTCCTTACACAACAACTATTTATTCTAGAGGGTGTCCTAATATTTTAACAAATCAACTATTTATACTACAGCGTGTCCTAATATTTTAAAAAAGTAACTATTAATACTACAGGGTGTCCTAATATTTTAACAAATCAACTATTTATACTCCAGGGTGTCCTAATATTTTAACAAAGCAACTATTTATTCTAGAGGGTGTCCTAATATTTTAACAAATCAACTATTTATACTACAGCGTGTCCTAATATTTTAACAAAGTAACTATTTATACTACAGCGTGTCCTAATATTTTATCAAAGCAACAATTTATACTACAGGGTGTCCTAATATTTTATCAAAGTAACTATTTATACTACAGGGTGTCCTAATATTTTATCAAAGCAACAATTTATACTACAGGGTGTCCTAATATTTTAACAAATCAACTATTTATACTACAGGGTGTCCTAATATTTTAACAAAGCAACTATTTATACTACAGGGTGTCCTAATATTTTAACAAAGCAACTATTTATACTACAGGGTGTCCTAATATTTTAACAAAGCAACTATTTATTCTACTGGGTGTCCTAATATTTTATCAAAGCAACAATTTATACTACAGGGTGTCCTAATATTAACAAAGCAACTATTAATACTACAGGGTGTCCTAATATTTTAACAAAGCAACTATTTATGCTACAGGGTGTCCTAATATTTGAACAAAGCAACTATTAATACTACAGGGTGACCTAATATTTTAACAAATCAACTATTTATACTTTAGGGTGTCCTAATATTTTAACAAATCAACTATTAATACTACAGGGTGTCCTAATATTTTAACAAAGCAACTATTTATACTACAGGGTGTCCTAATATTTTAACAAATCAACAATTTATACTACAGGGTGTCCTAATATTTTAACAAATCAACTATTAATACTACAGGGTGTCCTAATATTTTAACAAAGCAACTATTTATACTACAGGGTGTCCTAATATTTTAACAAAGCAACATTTTATACTACAGGGTGTCCTAATATTTTAACAAAGCAACAATTTATACTACAGGGTGTCCTAATATTTTAACAAAGCA